CCATGAGACGCATCGCTGGTCCTCACACAGGACGATGGTTAGACTGTTTGGTCACTGATGGACAATAAGCCACTCTGTGACTCGCTTTGACAGCAGGGTGACCGCAGTTCGAGGCCGATTATTCGAAACGAGGCCTAACGCCAGACCAGGATGGTTTAGAAAGTGCAAAAAGAATCACTGGAAAAGAGGAAGGAGTCGATATTCATGCTTCTATATAGATTCATTTATAAATAAAAATGGAACCGCAAACGTAATACAAACTGTCGCACATCCACCGCAGTTCAAATACACGAATAACGCAGATTGACGACTTCGGCGTTCACTATCATGGAGCTCTTTTATTTACTTATGAGACTTTGTGCGTAAACCGAATGTCGTCTTTTTACTACCACAAATATTAATACACAAGGGACAGCCCCAATCACCAAACATTTACATGCAGGAGGTGCGCTTACTCAGGAAATGTTAACCGCATATTCGACTATTCACATTTTGCATATATGCCCGTCATCCTCAGTTTAGCTCAGATCTGTTCCAACATGGGACTTTCACGCGTTCGGCCTCCACAACCAATCCACTGTGAATAATTTAGCCACTGATCACATTAGAGAGGTGAAAACCAACCTAACCTTGTTGCAGAACAAAAACTAACACTTACACTTTGCCCTTTAGTTGGGCGTAGCAGGCGGTAGCATGGCGACTGGTACCCAGTGATGCAGAGAGTTGCTCCATGATCGTCTACTGAGGGGCCAAATCCTTGGTGTGTAGTCCAGACGGATAACGGCAAATGAGACAGAATCGAAAATTTCCACGCAATAACTTTTCCGTCTAATGAAGCCAGGGCGACAGGGTGTCCGACATAAAGCGTCATTTCGGGCTTCTCTGTTGTTTCGGAATCTCAGAACTTTATCTGGTATTTCGTTGTGAGTGAGGGATTTTAGGAGACGGGATAGGCGTGAGAGGGCTGATGTTCCACCCCCTCCTGAGGACAATGTATCGGTATTTAGTTGGTTGTCGAACTTTTGGAGGCGTTCTAATTTGGGTGGTTGGTCAGCAGTAGTCTTTTTTTGCGTCTTGATAAATGTCACCTGATGTACAACACTCACCACTAATATAGCAGTTATGTTTGTAGAACTCCCAGGACTTTGTTGTATGACGAACAATTTTTGCCTCATAAGTCACGATACCTCCCAAAGAACTGGTTAGGCTCGGTCAGTAAGGGCGAATTTCGCAACATAGTACGATATTTTGACTAATTTAGATTTGCGAAAATTCCCATGGAAGAATTCAAAAGACAGTTTGGCGAGCATACGAAAGCTTTCGATACAATAACATCAGGTCTTTGCATTTATATTGCTATCGAAATGACTGAACAGAAAACGGCGGCAAGCAGAGGTTTTTTTATGTAGCTGGAGTTTTGTGGGAGAGGGTCTGGTTGGGTGAGGTGAAAAACATAATTACCGTCAGCATCAGGGGGGAGAAGGGGATTGCGGAAAATGGGACGGGTGATTATACGCAGGTGGCTGACATGGTGGCTTTGGGCCATAGCAACCTTGAGGCCTGTACGAAGTTCTTTTGTACGCATAGAACTAGATTGTATAGCCTGATCGCAGCCGCCTCTGCAATATATATATATATATTTGGAAGAAGGTAAATAGATCTCTGGGGAGGATGATTTATTCATCTGACGTTTCACACTCATACTTGAGCGCATCATCGGAGATAGATTAAAAGTGGGAATACAAGGTTTAAATAGGTCTTTCTTACTCAGTACTGATAGGTCCATTGTTCTCTCTTCCCATTGGTCCTCCCTTCCTGCTCAAGTGGTGTCTGACGGCCTCATATGGCGCCGGTAGGTCGATCCTACGGTTGATCGAGTTGGCGTTGGATTGCCAGGCTTCGATTATCTCTCTCGCCATTTTGCTTTCAGCTCGACCGATTACTTCTGCCTTGTCGAAGCCGAATTGATGGTCATTTTCGAGGCTATGCATGACAACATGTGATCGTACATCTTTTCGCTTTACAGCTAGAGAATGCTCATGCATGCGCGACCTTAATCGTTTGTCGGTCATGCCACAATAATTGGCCGGACAGTCTAGACAGTTGACGCGGTAAACAATTCCTGACGTGTCCTCAGGTGGTAGCCGCCCCTTGGGCTGCATGAGTAAGCGGCGAATAGTGACCTCCGGCCGGTATCCAAGGCCCACGTTGAGTGGTCTGAGCATGCGTTCAGTGGCTTCGGAAACGTCACTCACGTAGGGCGAAGCACGGAAGAATTCCGGTTTTTGTTTTTGTTCACCGTCGGTCTTCATGTGCCTTTGATACAGCATTTGTTTATGAAGCTGCGTGGGTACCCATTGGAGAGAAAGAAACGCCATAGGGATTTATATATATATATGCTGATTGAAGCGAAAATGCGCATTCCCGGATATAACTGAGAAGATAAGGCGATCGCAGGAACCGTAAGTATATTTGCCTGAAGTTTCGAAAGCAAACAAACTTCCATCATCGGAGGTGATTTGCGTACGGCACGTCACAGTATTTAAGGGTTTTTCTTTCGTGCTGGCGTGTCACTGACTTCCAGCGCGCTGCATCACACGGTATGGCGATGGTTGTCATGGCGGCATCGGTTCCTGCTCATCTATTGTCGGGTGTGGGGAGGGGGGCGGCGCCGGGGTGACCGCGGCCATTGCTCTTGTTTGTATTGTCCGTTGTCCGCCCTCGACGCATCTCGCCTTCCTGCCCCGTTCGCACCTGCCCGTATCCGCGTGGACGGTGGTTGTCATGCCACTGTTGACGTCGGCCTGGGGGGTCCTGTCGCTGTCCCGTTCGCACCTGCCCGTAACCGTGTTGACGGTGGTTGTCGTGCCAGGGTTGACGTCGGGCTGGGGGGTTTTGTCACTGTCGGGCGTTCTCCTCGAGTGCTGGCGTCTGTCTGCGTTCGGACCCAGAAGGCGGTCTCCTGGGTTTGCGTTCGCCGCCGGTTGTCCCCCGGTTTCGTCCGTTCCCGGTGCCTGTCTATGCCCGTCCTCGTTCCCGCTTGGTCCGGGTTTGATTACTGCCGTCTCTGGCCTGACGACTCGTCAGTAGCCCTGCCTATTGAACTTCACCCGTAGGGCTTGGTAGGCAGCCGGCAGAGTTACGCATCGGTTGATTGAGATAGTTGTGGTGTGCCAGGCTTCGAGTGTCCCCCTCACCGTTTGATCGCTCCCTTGGCCCAAGACTTCGGCGTCTTAGAAGGCGAAGGCGTGGCCGAAAGCTGCGCAATGGTCTGCCAACAACGAGAGCTGATCCATTCTTCTTACCGCTCTTGCGTGCTCGTCCATGCGGGTCTGCAATCTCTTCCCGGTTTCTCCAACGTAGTTTGCCTCACAGAAACTACACGGGATCCGGTAGACGACGTTGGCAGTTTCGCCGATGTTGGAAGCTTGTTTGCTTTCGAAACGTCAGGCAAATATACTTATGGTTCCTGCGATCGCCTTATCTTCTCATATATCTATATATATATGCATGTCAGGTGGGCGTTTGACCATCACTGTTGTGGTTAGGATCTCACTCGATCCCATTCTGTCCGCCCGCCAGCTTGCTACTGGCGACAACGAACGCTGTGTCAGAGGAAACATACCACATATAATACATGAGCAGCTCGCCAAGAGTGCAACAGACCAGACGCAGACAGCTGTTTCACGGTCGTTACCGATCATCAATACGTCATAGGCCTTATTAAGTGAGGTATATAAGCATATCAAGTGGGTGTTTGACCCTCACTGTTGTGGTTATGATCGCACTCGTTCCCATTCTGTACGCCCGCCAGCTTGCTACTGGCGACAAAGAACGCTGTGTCAGAGGACACATACCTATGGCGTACTGATGATCGGTAACGACCGTGAAACAGCTGTCTGCGTCTGGTCTGTTGCACTTTTAGAGAGCTGCTCATGTATTATGTGTGGTATGTGTCCTCTGACACAGCGTTCGTTGTCGCCAGTAGCAAGCTGGCGGGCGGACAGAATGGGATCGAGTGAGATCCTAACCACAACAGTGAGGGTCAAACGCCCACGTGACATGCTTATATACCTCACTTCATAAGGCCTATGACGTACTGATGATCGGTAACGACCGTGAAACAGCTGTCTGCGTCTGGTCTGTTGCACTCTTAGCGAGCTGCTCATGTATTATATATATATATTTATATCGTTTATATCATCCCCCGAGGAATACGAAGAAGATATATCGATTTCATGGACCAGGTTGTATTCAGATTGATGTTTCGGATACACACTCGTTTCCATCACCAGAGTCGTGCGCTGACGTTTCCTGCTGGCCTTGATCTGTTAAGCCTTGCCGCCTGCCTCGTATTATAACCATGCACAGCGCACGTTTGTTGATTAGCCTGCTTTCCTTTGGCTCCGTTGCTTGTGAGCCACGCCGGTCACGTGACATTCGTTCAGCGCCTTCTCCTCTATCCGCGAGCGTCGGCGGTCGGCCCCGTGTGGCTCTGTACATCCGTGCCATCGGCCCTGCCTGGACTGACTCGAGTCTTGCGCAGAACGCCTGGGAGGCGACAATCAGCCAACGGAAAGCAGGCTAGTCAACAAACGTGCGCTGTGCACGGTTATAATACGAGGCAGGCGGCAAGGCTTAACAGATCAAGGCCATCAGGAAACGTCAGCGCACGACTCTGATGATGGAAACGAGTGTGTTTCCGAAACGTCAATCTGAATACAACCTGGTCCATGAAATCCATTTCTCTTCTTCGTCTTCCTCGGGGGATGATATACACGGCAATATAGCTGGACCTCGCATCTTAACGCATATTGCCATATATGTATACATATATATATATATATATATATGGATGTAGGCGAAAATGCTGACCCCAGGTGTTGAAATTGAAGAAGATGGTAAGGCGAGCTCTGGGGATGATGATTTATTCATCTGACGTTTCACACTCATACTCGAGCGCATCATCGGAGATAGGAAATATTGGAAAATTACACGGTTTAAATAGGTCCCTCTCGCTCTTGCCTGATAGGGCCGTCAACTTCTATCCTCATTGGGCCTCCCCTGGTGCGTAGGTGGTGTTTGGCGGCCTCGTATGGTGCCGGTAGTTCAACGCAGCGGTTGATGGAGTTGGTGTCTGTTTTCCAGGCCTCGATTATTTCTCGCGCCAGTCTGTTTTCCGCTCGGCCGAGCACTTGGGCGCCGTCAAAGTCAAACCGGTGGTCATTTTCTAGACTGTGCATGGCGACATATGAGCGCGCATCTTTCCGCTTGACGGCTAAGGTGTGCTCATGTATGCGCGTTTTAAGTCGTTTGTTTGTCATGCCGCAATAGTTGGCCTGACAGTCTAGGCAGTTGACGCGGTAAATGACACCGGACATTTCCTCAGGGGGCAGCCTACCCTTTGGCTGCATGACTAATCGGCGGATGGTGGCTTCCGGTCGGTGTCCAACGCCCACGTTAAGTGGTCTAAGCATACGCTCAGTGGCCTCAGAGACGTTCCTCATGTAGGGCAAGACACGGAGTACCTCAGGTTTTTGGTTCGCCTCACCGTCAGTCTTCGTGTGTCTTTGGAACAGACATTTGTTTACGAAGCTACGTGGGTATCCATTGACAAGGAAGAGGTGCCACAGGGAGGCACGCTCTTGTAGCTTCTCGGCCTCTGTGCTGCAGTGCGTGTTGATGCGGCGGAAAAGTGTCCGGACGCAACTGCGTTTATGCGACAGCGGATGGTTGCTGTTGTAGTGGAGTTTTTTCTCTGTGTTTGTAGCTTTTCGGAAAACACCGGTCTGGAGGGTTCCATCTTCCTGCCTCGTTACCCGCACGTCGAGGAAAGAGAGCGTTCCGTCCTTTTCTTCCTCCATTGTGAATTGAATTTGTGGGAAGATGGAGTTTAATTCTCCTCTGAAGGCCTCCTTCGCATCTCGGTGTAGGACGACAAAGGTATCGTCCACATAGCGCATCCAGAATTTTGGCTTGTAGGACCGAAATACACGAGTTTCCAGTTCCTGTAGTACCGCCTCAGCCAGGTAGCCGGAGATCGGGGATCCCATCGGGGTTCCCTGGATTTGCTCATAAGTATGGCCGTTAAAAGTGAAATACGTGCATAAGCAGTAGTCCAGTAACTTCATCGCGTGCTTCCTTTTAAACGGTTTTTCTTCATGGTCGTACTTTCGTTCCAGTAGCTCACTGATGACTCTCATGGCCAAATCCTTAGGGATGGAGGTGAACAAAGAGACGACGTCAAAGGATACCATGATCTCATCGGGGGCTATTGTCACGCCTCGGACTTTTTCTAGGAAGTGCGTTGAGGAGGCGGCTGTGTGTTCGGATCCTTCCGTCAGCTTCTTTAAGTGCTTGGTAAGCCATTTAGCCAGTCCGTAGGTAGGTGTGCCTTTCAGCGCTACGATGGGTCGTAGGGGGACATTTGGCTTGTGGATTTTTGGCAAACCATAGAAACGCGCTGGAGCGGCATCTTGCGGTCTCATTTGTCTCCAATCGTTTTCAGATATCGCCTTTTGGCTCCTCATCTGATTTAAGCCCTTGTTAATTTTTTTTTTTAAAACAGACTGGCGCGAGAAATAATCGAGGCCTGGAAAACAGACACCAACTCCATCAACCGCTGCGTCGAACTACCGGCACCATACGAGGCCGCCAAACACCACCTACGCACCAGGGGAGGCCCAATGAGGATAGAAGTTGACGGCCCTATCAGGCAAGAGCGAGAGGGACCTATTTAAACCGTGTAATTTTCCAATATTTCCTATCTCCGATGATGCGCTCGAGTATGAGTGTGAAACGTCAGATGAATAAATCATCATCCCCAGAGCTCGCCTTACCATCTTCTTCAATTTCAACACCTGGGGTCAGCATTTTCGCCTACATCCATGAGAATTCCGGGCGCGAAGCGCTTCGCCGAGCACGGCATTGGGAAATATTTTCATGTAGACAGGGAGCTACACGGGAACAATTGGTCTTTCTACACAACTGCCTAAGGTCAGACATCATGCTGAGGAGTGTTTCTGTGAGACCACCAGCTAAGACCGATTTCGGTCGGGAGGTCGCCAGGAGCTGCAGCCGACGCTTACTAAGAACCCTCATCAACGAATGTCATATTCGCCTGGGAAAGTACGGCAGAGAAATCGAAAGGGAGAAAGCAGCATGTGCATCACACCTGGAGGATCAAACACTACAAAACCTGGAGAGCTGGATCTCGATAAAGGTGAACGTAGAGCGAGGGAAGAAGAGGGTCCAACTCCTGAACAAAATGCGTACCCTACAGCAGGCAGATGCAGCTATGTCAGAACCACCGTCCGTCCACAACCTCTCATCCAAACAGCTGACAGACGACCAGATTAAAGTGCTTCAGCACGAATCTGGATACAACACAGGTGACGCGCAGCCACTGGATTTTATTGCGGCATTAGAAGCGACACTCGCAAAGACAGATACCACAGAAGACTCCAAGAACTCCATTCGCCAGCGAGTGTCGTCGCTCATCATATCCCACAAGCCACGTCGGACCATCTCCTCGGCCGAATTAAAGGCCATTAGGGAATTAAAGATGGACGAAGAAATAGTAATTGTTCCAGCGGACAAAGGACGGGCAACCGTGATCTTGGACAGATCAGAGTACGTCGCAAAAGCCCAGGAACTACTAGACGACAACCAGTCATACAGAGTCGTCGACTCTGACCCCATAAAAACACTGGTAGGCAAAATTAACAAGGGCTTAAATCAGATGAGGAGCCAAAAGGTGATATCTGAAAACGATTGGAGACAAATGAGACCGCAAGATGCCGCTCCAGCGCGTTTCTATGGTTTGCCAAAAATCCACAAGCCAAATGTCCCCCTACGACCCATCGTAGCGCTGAAAGGCACACCTACCTACGGACTGGC